GGCTCCTCCAGGGCTGCAGCAGCCTCTAAGCCTCTCCTACTGCCGTGTTTTCAATCTGGCCCCTGCTCCACCCACATCTGGTCCCATAGCAGCACTCACCCCCTTCCCGTCCCTGTGATCCTGTTCCCTCTGCATCAACCCTGCTGCCCATGCTGCCCCCACCTGTTGTCCTCCCCTGCTTTCCCCACAAATCTGTGCCTACCTTCTTCACATTGTGGCTCAAGTGCTACCTCCCCAGTTGGGGTCAGATCCATCTATAACGTGTGTGTAGCACTTCCTGTGGTTATTTTCCAGAGAGGAAGACATATCTTTTATTATTGGCTGTCTTTCCCATTAGCCATAAATGAGCAAATGAAGAGAGAGACTATGTTTGTCTCCATCACCCCTGTTTCTTCAGATCATCCTCTACCACAGGACCTGGCAGAGAGTAGATTTTAAACATGTATTTATGGAACAGGTGAATGGGTAGATAGACAGATGGTTATGTAAATGAATGAGTGGGTGGGTGAATGGATATTGAGAGAATGTTTGAATGTATGTTGGGGTGAATGGGTGGGTGTTGGGGTGGATGCTGGAGTGGATAACTGGGTGGTTGGGAAGGTGAATTGGGGGTGGATCTTGGGGTGGATGGGTGAGTGGATTTGGGGGTGAATATTGGAATATATGGGTGGGTGGAAATTGGAGTAGAAGGGTGGGTGGATATTGGGATGGATGAGTGAGTGGATATTGGGGTGGATGTTGAGGTGGATGGGTGGGTGGATATTGAGGTAGATGAATGGGCAGATGTTGAGGTGAGGGGATGGGTGAGTGGATGTTCGATGGGTGAGTAGATGTTGAGATAGATGGGTGGGTGGATGCTGGGGTGCATGCTGGTGTGGATAGGTGAGTGGGTATTGTGATAAATGTTGGGAAGTCAGAGTAGATGTCAGGGTGGATGAGTGAGTGGATGTTGGGGTTAGTGTGGGGATGGATAAGAGGGTCGATATTGGGGTGGATGGGAAGGGTCTATATTGGGGTGGATGGGAAGGTAAATGTATATGGGTGAGTGGGTCTTGGGGGAATGTTGGGGTGGATGTGTGAGTGAATATTGGAGTGAACGGGTGGATGTTGGGTTGTATTTTGGGGTAAATGTTGGAGTGGATGCTGGGGTGGATGCTGAGGTAGATGAATAGGTGTATGCTGGGGTGAATGTTGGGGTGGCTCTTGGAATAGATGGGTGGGTGGATGTTGGGATGTATGAGTGAGTGAATGTTGGGGTAAATGGGGTAGATGGGTGGATGGAAGTTGGAGTGAACAGGTGAGTGGATGGGTGGATGAGTGAGTGACCGTTGGGGCAAATGTTAGGGTAGGTGGGTGGATGGAAGTTGGGGTGGATAGGTCAGTAGATATTGGGGTGAATGGGTGAGGTGGATGTTGGGTAGATCTTAGGGTGGATGCTGGGGCAGATGGGTGGGTAAATGTTGAGGTGAATGTTGGGGTGGATGGGTGAGTGGATGTTGATGTGAATGGGTAGTTGGGATGGATGTTGTCGTGGATAGGTGGGCGGATGTTGGGATGAATGGGTGGGTGGATGTTGGGTTGCATGTTGGAATAAATATTGGGGTGGGTGGATGATTGAGTGGAAGTTGGGTGAATGGGTGGGTGGATGGTGGGACAGATGGGTGGGTGGATATTGGGGTGAATGTTGGGTTAAATGAATGGTGGATGTTGAGGTATGAGGTGGGGGGAAGGTTCAGGTAGATGAAAGGGATGGATGGATGAACATATAGATGGGACCATCTTTCCTTGGTTGGCCTCATGCAGTGCCAAAGAGAATGGACTTGGGAGCGCAGAGGGCTGGATTTTTGTCCCTTATCTGCTCTGGCTCACTGTATTATCTTGGGTGAATCACTACCCGTTTTGTATCCTTGGTTGCTAGGAAAATAAGTAGAAAGATTTTTTTTTCAAAATTACAGATTTCTTGAAGTTCAAAAGTTTGGGGAGGGTAGGTTGGAAATTTCAGGGCTTCTCCTGCTGTTCTCAATATAGCTCCATGACTTTAAACAGATTGCTTCACCTCTCCAAGCCTCAGTTGCTATTCTGTGAGGTGAATGGGGAAGGCAAGTGGGCGGATGTGTGGCAGGCACCTCCGGACACTCTTGCTTCAGTATCTTTATTTGAGAGAAAGTTTGTCCTCAAAGGGAGGAAGCAAGTGGGCGCCGTGCTGAATTATCTCACAGTAGGAGAAGCGGCTTTCTGATTCCTCCCTGGTCCTGAGTAGCACCCCAAGCATAATTCTCCAAATCCAGGGTTTGGCAACCATAGGCCTGGGACACCCTGGCTCTAGGAAGAGCAAAATATGTTAGGGAGGAATGAGAGAGGGGAGGCAGGGAAGGATCCAGGAACTGCTGACCACTTCCAATCCCACCCTAACCTGGTTTTGCAGATTCCTCCCTCAACTGCAAAACAGAAAAGTCCCGGACAAGATGAGTTTGAAGGTCCCTTGTGGTTCACACTATTGGATGTGATCTTTTCTCTCCTATCCTGTCTCCTAATCCCTCCAGAGCTGACTCTGGGGTAAGATTTCAGCCAAACTCCTCTCTTGGCCGGTGCCTGGTTCTTCACCCCTTCAGAACCTTGTTCCTGCAATCTCTGTGCTGCTGCTCTGGAGAGGGGGCCCCAGAGCTCCAGTGGCTCTGTGTGCCCTGGAATTTATCAAGCTGTGGGCCCCAAAGAAGCCTGGTGAGATTGGCAAGGGGGAGCCAGTCACCACGGGTCCTTTGTGTCCTTCCTCTTCCCTGCTCCCTGTCCTCACTGGTTCAGGGTCAGCTGGAAATGATTCTGAGACCAATCCATCCCTCTCTTTTACTTTCCATTTTCCTCCTCTCTCCTCTCTTGTGCTCCTCTTCCTCCTCCTCTTTCTCCTTCTCCCCTCCTCACCTCTCCTCTCCTCTTTTCTCCTCTGTCTTTCCTTTCTTTTTCCTTCCAAGGGTAAAAGTTGAGCTTGCAGGCAGCTGACCTGGTTCAGAGGCTAGCTCCATCACTTAGCTGCCCGCCCCTGAACAAGTAGTCTGTTCTTCAGCCCTCACATTCGGCATTAACCCCGGGTGTGACAGTCTCTTCTCACAGGGCCAATCTGAGGTTTTGATGTCTGTGCCCAACATGTGGTAGATGTTTCATAAATGCCAGATCTCTTCCCTGAATTGTCATGCTCTGGTTCCTTTCTGTCCCTCCCCCATCCTCAAACACCATCTTCTCTTATTGTCCCTCTGCCCTGTGCCTTGCCCACTCACCCCACCCAAGAGGTGGCACTAACTCCTGGGTGCTAGGTCTCGGCCCTGAAGGGCTGTCTGCACTAGGTATGTCACTGCCTGTGTAATGTTTCAGGGGAGCAGACTTTGCCGACTGCGGGGACTCCATACATGTGACCGGGCGGGGAGGATTACTCACAAGCTGTAGGGACAAGACTCAAAGGAGTGCTACGGCTGCATTTATGTCCTTGGCAGGACCCAAAAGCAGAGCAGGAAGACCAGTGAGCAGCCAGAAAAGGGAGCCCGACTCTAAGGAAGAAAGCAGCTGGTTTGAATCTGGCTCCTGTTTCTCAGCCTTTCCAATGACAGCATGTATTCCTAGCTCCCCCAGTCCAGCCTGGCCAGCTCCCCCAGCCCAGGAAGTGCCCCACCCTGGGCAGAGCCAGTAGCCAGTAACTAGCAATATGACCTTGGACAAATCCCATGCCATTAGTGTCTCAGTGTCTCACTTACAAACTTGGGAAAGGAGAATCTTTAAAGCCCCCTTTTTGCTCTCAAACTGTACATGTTCAGACTCCTGAAAGCAGTCAGAGGCCCCAGCTTGAGGTCAATTCAGAGCTGCCTTGTCATAAGCATTAAGACACAGGAGGGAAGGAACAGTTTGTCTTTTAATGAAGTGTGATTCTAAATGGCCCATAGCCTGGGGGACCTGCCCAGCTCGGGGAAGGCATTACATCTGTTCATTGCGTCCTGTTGAAGAATTGGCTCAACCACACAGGGACTTGGAAGAGAACAAAATGTGGACACTTAGGGGCCAGAGGGCCTCAGCCTACAAGTGGTTACCTCCTGCCAGGACTCTGTTCCCACTGCCCTCTCTGGGGACCTCAGGGGACACAGGAGGTGGGAGTCATGGTGGGGGTGAGTGTTGACGGCTGTCAGGGGAGCTGGAAGCCAAATGCATTTTCTTTGCCATGTTGGGTCATTTATAAAAACTATTTTCAAAGCTTCTTAAAGGTTATTAAGATGTTCACATTAATCTGTGGAAGAATCAGTATTTATGGTTGAAACCCCCAACCTCTCTAGTTTCTTTCTGACTCTGCAGCCTCCTTTGGGCCAGGCAGACAGAGGTTCAAATCCAGGCTCCAGCAGAGACTAGCTGGGTGCCCTCAGGTGAGTTACTTAACCTCTCTGACCTCAAATTCCTCATACATAAAAGGGAAGTAATCATTGCACCTAAATCAGGATTGCTGCGAGGAATAAATAAGAAAACAC